ACGGTTCATGGATCAACCGCAGCAGAGCCGCCGGACACAATAACGTTGACCCTAACAGACTCATTCGAAGGCCGACGAGAGCCCGTCAGACGCGTATCCGGATGGAATGTGCCTACAACAGCAATGAGGGAATCTCACTACGTTTTCTTCGCAGTGCGTTGACGACAAAGATATCATCTCCACGAGAGCACACCTACACCCATCCAGTGCCCTCTTTTCCTCCTCTTTCCTCATCTCATCAATCCGCAACTGCGACGCCCGTCGCGTAGCCAACAACTGCTCGTGAATCGGCACTCCCTAGAGTCCGTGGTAGCCCCCATGCAATTGACATCATCATCATCCTACCCCTCGGGGACGGTGGAGCTCCGACAGCCTCGCTGAATGCGGGTCTATCCGAGGCGTGAATGTCGCTTCCTTGTCCACTTCCGGCTCAGCGCGTTTCAGTCTAGTAGATTAACAACAATCGTATGAGCGGCTTCCTCTGGAGCACCTCCCACTTAGAATTCCTCTCCCTCGCACTAGTGGACACAAACAGATGGCTGGAGGGCTTCCGAGACAGGCGAAGTTTATAATCGATTGCCGCGATGAAGTTCTCAAGGCTTACCGGCTCGCCCGACTCCTCTACGTAGGATACAATATGTGATACCTAATACCAATAAGGAGGGGACAAATCGCATAGTCGTTTACCGTACCAATTCCATCTCTCCAGAGTCGTCCAGGCCAGCCTTATCCAGTGTCATGGGGTTAATCCACTCACTTGGACCCTCCGCATGGGGTACACCTACAGTCACTGGTGGCACGATTCCATCTTAAGTGGGCCCCCATAAAACCGGCAAATTACTCAGGTGCACGTTGCCAAAACACATGTGCACCTCCGATACGCGACTCGCGTAACGCGAGTTCTAGGGGGTAGTTGTGACGCGCACTACTGATGCGTGCCAGGCCGAGTATGAATATTCTCGAGATGAACTTTCGTCCCATCATGCGTAGTAATCATCAAACTCATTTCATTTTCTGAACGATACAGCGCACGCATGTGACCCTGGATAAAACCCTCCCCGAAGACTGTCCACTATCGTGTTATCGCGATGCCCAATTTCCACAGCAATGCCTCCGAAGCACCCTCTTGTGAACTCTCCAGTTCGACTCTGTTTTATAATACGTCATAAACTGCTATGATAGCCATGGACTCGCACGAACATTCCCAATCAACCCCGGGCGATCTGAAGTCTCATAGTCCAGTTTTGTCTAACCGTCTCAGAATACGGATGGATTCCACCCGAGTTTGCCTTAACACCAATACACCACCCACCTCCCAGAGCTGCATACAACCTCTCGTACTTCTCCATCCTCATCTGTTCCAATATCTCCCTACTTCGACTTAGGGCTTTAGCCTCAGAGGACAATTCCTTCGCTGCCTGCATACCATCATTCTCCCCACTCAGACCACGGTGCCAACCTTCACAGCAGCCGACTCAGACTCAGCCGCTCTCCTCCTCAAATCCACAGACTCGCAATACAACCTCTGAACGAATCCCCTTCATAGGCCCTTGCACACTCCCCCACCTACGTTGAAGATATCACCCGATGGTCGCCGCCGCTGTGGCATCAGCAGCTTTGAACCACTCCGTTGGGCCTTAGACCGACCAGCTGTCCGTGCTGCTGCCGGTGGTGAGTCAAACAACAAGCGCTCTCTAGGGGGACTTCCTTCAAGACTCTCATCACCTGAGAGAGCAGTACCACATTCTCCGAGTACGAGGATCACCAGCCCACCTCGGGCAGACGTAGGCCAACAAGGTGAGGGGAAGGCTGACGAGCCTTGACCTTCCGACACAGCGCCTATCCAGTGAGCGCCATAACAGCTGTCATCGGCCCAGCAACAGCTACTACTACTAGCAGTCACTTGCCTTAGTCCGTGACGGCCGCCCCCATGTGTTAAGGAAGAGTCACCATCGGGAGCGGACGCGTCCTTCCTGCATCTGATGGGTCGAGTGAATGCAGCTTAGTGAGCACCACTCACGAGAGCCTCTTGAAGAACATCTCCCTACTCCCATCCCTCGATGATGGCCGATCATGCGCCATGCCAATATTCGGCGCGAATGTCGCCCCCTCTGGCAGGTAGCTTTCCCATTCTACCCGTCGCTCCTACCGAGGCCGCCCTCCTCATACTATGACCAAAGCCCCACCCACCCTCCTCTGGGAAGCATCTTCATAGAGCATCTCGAATGGACTCTTCCGGAAGGGATTCCTCCTCTGGGCGATGAGTGAAGACTTCGAGTTAATATGCGGTCTGCACTTAGTAAGTAAATTACTCATTGTCAACCGATAGGAACCCTCCCGGACGATACGCCCCCACCTAAAGGAGCACTCCTCCATCCGCTGCCTCTCTATCTCCCCTCGCAACTGCGCTGTCCTCTCCCTCCTCTTCCACCTCTGCTCAGTCGCTTCCTACCCCAAAAACTCTTCCAACAACACCACCCAATGCCTCACATCAGCCGAGGCAGCCTTCGAGCCGTTCAGCCGGCTCACCCCTGGACACATCCTCTGACTTTCACCTACCATAATCGGCACAAGCCGTCTTCAAGTAGGTCCACCCTAACCTCACCAATAGCTGGCTTGAATGTAGCGCCCCTCAACTCCGCCTCTTCCCGCTCCGCGACATAGTCCCTCTGTAGGTCCACAAGATGTCGGATTTTCCTTGCAAGCGGATCAAGTTTCCTATTGATCCTTTCCTCCTCCGCCACCCACCTCTCATGCATAGTGTGGAGGCGATGCCCCGGTGGCTGAGGATTCTCTAGAGAGAACCTGTCCGGTGGATGGCCATCCGCAATGACGACCCCGGCATGCAGCAAGGACGAAACAGTACGGCCCCCCACACGAGCACGTAGAGGGAGGGGAACACTACTATTTCACTCATATACCATCGAGCCCCTCACTCTGTCATCCCTTCCTTCGACGAAGACGACCGCCGTGGAGTCAAGTCGCGCTGCTCTCTCAGCTGAGTTAGCCTTCGCTGCCTCGTCCCAGCATGGTCGTGGAGTTTGGCAAAAACTGACGATGATGATGATAGTGACGAGCTTCGCTCCGCCTTCTGCTTAGACATCCTTCTTTGCGCTGTCATAAGCAATGAACCGCAACGAGTGTACCCAGCAGACCCACGAGGCTGCCGCCTTGTAGGAGGAGGTCGACATCCGCCCCTCATCCCTCCTCGACCTCTGCTCCTCACGCCGCTCCACACAACGTCATTACTCCTCCTCCACTTCCCTCCTCTACTGCTGTCCTTGCAAGAAAAGCATATCAAGCCAACGCCTCTTTGGCAATCTCACCACTACAGTGGGAGGAGGATCAGCAGCAACAGCAGCAGGCGCAGTTAGAAGCCTTCTACGGGGGGCGACCCCTCGTGGTGGGGAATCTTCACCCGGAGATGGTACGGACTCGTCCAGAACCGAAGTACCTACGAATCACCCCTTCTGTCAGGGATCCATCATCGTCGCCCTCGCGTTCTCTAGTCCTGCCCGAGCTCAACCTACGTCGGTCCAACCCGCGTAAGTCGAAATCCCATCTGTTCCCCCTCTCTCTCTCTCCTCCCTCCCCTCCTCCTCCTTCTTACTGCTGCTGCTCGGCCCCCGACCCATCATGCGTAAATCCTCCCGTATCCTCTCCCCAAGCGGCCCTGAGTACAACTCACTAGACTGTGTCTTCTCCAACAGCATTACCCGCTAGCTCTAACGGCAAGTCGTTGACCATGAGGAACTGCTCAGCTACCTCCTCCACATCGTCCCCCTCGCGGACCAGGATGATACCCTTAGGCTGGCTTGGGCTTATTTCCACCACCACTCGCAGTATCGGATCTGTTTACATCACAGAGGACACTTTCCGCACTAAACCAACAGCTACATAGTCTCCAATATTCCATCGCGCCTAGACTGTTCGTAAAGGATGATAAATAAGGCAAGGTTGAACATCTAATGAGCTGTAAGAGTGTGTGAAACCCACCGAAGGAGTAAAAAGCCGTAAAATTGAAAGGGCGCAGCTATCCTTACGGTGAGGACAGTACCCATTGTTGTGTGAAATACTATGACTGCTCACTCACCTCCACAGGATGGTGCCACTCTAACCCTCCCCTCCTCCCCAAACTCATCATCCTCTTCCTCCTCCGCCAGACCTATGAGTTCCGATGAGCTCCCCAAGGAGCAACTCCGACGGAAGCTAGCAGCCCTCCTGGCCATCGTAGGCGTTGGGACCGACCACAACGGCCACGAGTCATTCTGTATTGCCTCTAGTGGATTATCAAAGGACCCTTCCAGTGCTGGGCGAGCCATCGCTATTACCCCACTACCACTACTGCAAGGGAAGGCCCATCCTTATCATTGACATCATCAACTATGATCAACTTCGACAACATTAAAGTGAAACTTGTGTAAAACTTTTATGCAAAACTAATCACTCAAGCTCCCTAAGCCTCCGCCACCTTCCTCACTGCCACTGCTCGATCCCCCTTTTGCTACCTGCCATCACAGCCGATACAGGCAAGTCTCAAGACAACTCGCCCACCTTAGTGGTGGTAGTAGTAGTAGCTGCTACAGCGGTAGACATCCATGGCAGGGAGGTCTTCTCAGCATCCCTGGTGCTCGTACCATTGGGCCTACCCCGACAACAACAGCTGAGATCGTCCGATACAACAGAGTGAGCACTGCTCCTCCCTTCTACCCATCTTCCTTAACCTCGCCTGATAGCAACGCTAGAGCCTTCTTCACCTCACCCAACTCGTCCTCACAATCTCCCTCACGAGTCGACGGGCTCCATACAAGATAGGACCTATGCACTCACGATGATGATCGGCCTGCCTGTCCAAGACAGGACAGATAGAGAATGAATACCCCTCCTCCTTAAATCCAACTTCTTCCATCAACTTCCTCGCAGCTGAGCCCGTATCGAGCTGCGCTTGGAATCGAGGGGTTCGCAAATTTACTCGTCTGAACTTATCCGATTTCGGATTATTCACCTACAACATCGATCAGCATACACATCAGATACACTAACTAGCGTGAGGCAGCAATACGCCAACAAATATGCAGGTAGTGAGAGCCTTGGCAATCTCTGCCCACGAGCCTCTGCCTAGTCCACCTTTTCCTTACTAGATTTCCCAAGAGCATCTTAGCAGTGCCCTTCATCCTATCATCCATCTCTCTAACGACTTCTTCTAAGTCCTTCTTCTCCCCAGACTCAGCAGTATTGGCCGCTGCCTCACTGCCTACCGCTGTCGAATCAGTCGTCACTACTACACCTACTAGTGACAAGTACCGTCTCCTCCACCCATCGTTCGTATCACTTCTATCCACTCCTCTCTCCTCCTCCTCCTCATCATCTACATCATCCATCACAACCCCACCAGCTTTCACTATCAGCCCTTCACCACCGGTACGAGCTTCGCTCCGCGAAAGTGAAGCAGCAGTAATCTAATATTTTCACAACTGCCTTTTCGATAGGAACCTCTCAATTGCAATTTCACCTCCTTCAACGCCATGATGAGATCAGCATGTTGCTTCAACTGATTCCTCTGCATCTCCTCTAGCATTTTCACCACCCTATCGTCTCGGCTGTCTGCGGAGTTCTCTACTGCACTCCTTCCTTCCCTCTCCTTCAAAGCAGTCGATAGTGAATACAACACTCACACGGCAGCCTACCCCTTCCTTCTTCCGCTCAGTTTCTCGAGCTAGTAACTCCATCAGAAGCCTCTCTCGCTCGGACGATGCCTCAGTGACTTCTGAAGGCCACAGCAGGCTTTCCCTGTCATCCATTTTTACTACCTGCATGCCGTTGCTGCTGTTGCTGGTCCTGTCGGACCCGACTGAACAGCCACCAACCGGCCATGAGGGCGGTCCCCGCGCCGACTACTGTCTGGAAGATTACCCTTTAGGGGACGCTGGAAGAAAAGGAGTACGATTACCTTCAAAAGGCTCAGCCAGGTTGGCTCTGAGGGAGGTAGGGGTGGAGATGGGGGAGGCGGGAAGTATCTGGGAAGCTGCACAATATGTTGGATATAAGCTACTACTGCCTACACTGGTTGCAGCTGTACTCCACTGGGTAGAGCTTGGGTGGGCGTAGAAGGAACACTTGTGGGGTTTGCTGATGCATCCAATCGTTGGAAGGAGGCATCTGCCAAATAGGAGGTAGAGTGATGATGAAAGTGGTATACGTCTTAACTGATCTCGGCGTCTGTTAGGCCTTTGGTACGGAGGAACTGTTCCTTCTGAGCTCTACTGCTAGTGGACGCTATTGTGCGAGGATCGCTGAGAAACTTCATTGCCATCCCCACCTGACCAGGTTTTTAGCATCAACACTACCATTGCTACTACTATACGGTTAAGACCTCATTTTATACTACCATAGACTACCACCACTACTACGAATCTGGCTTATTACCTGATCCTCTCGAAGGTTGGGGAACACATGTGTCGACGTTACAGCTAGGGGTTCTAGAGAAGACTCAGCCGTGGCCTCAGGCTCGTCCTTCTTGTCTGTGGAGGGATCTGACATATGTGTCAACTCAACAGCATCAAAGTGCTCACATATATCGATTATTATGGCGCGCGCTATTTACGCTTATAACAGTGGTCTACATAGGCCACGGCCGTGGTACAGCATGCCGTTGTCTACGTAGGACTTATGCGCTACCTATCAGCATTCAGAATGTGAACCACACTCTAGGTAAGTCGGTGCGGTATTTCTTAGCTAATAAATAATACAGCATTAATAATTGTGGCAGAAGGGAAAGAATTAGTTGCAGGAATAAGGATAAAGGTCCACTGTTTCAGTAAAAACTCGACTTACTCCGTGCCTCACCCTAACGAGCCCTTCGTCAACGTACTAGCTTCACCAGCTTTCCTGTGCTGCTGCTGCTGCTGCATTAAGAGTACTTCAGATACGTGTTCAGACCTACCCAGGCACGGCTGCTGATGATGCTATGATATGGGCTTTGGAGGAGTTTGACGTTGTGTTCAATAGCAATCAGAGACAGTAACGACGATGACAATGGTGATGACTGGCTGAGGTTCATGTTGCATACTCCTCACCATTTGATGCTTTGCATAATATGGTTGTTCGCAATGACTCCCTAGGTTCACCTCGGCAATTAATCGATACCGTAGTAAGCATGCTGAGGAGAAGGCTTAGATGCGTGTTTCTATCCTTTCCCTGTGGTAGCCTAGTTGCATCGTCGCTTATTCTTTTGGTTGGTAGTACTCAATTGTCGCATAATATGATCCGCACTGAGAATTTCTTCGAGGACGAGAAGGCATCTCCTTTAATGGCACGGTAGTAGTACTATTACTAAGAGTGTAGTGGAGAGACTACCACTATGGTCGCGACTAGCTGTCGCTATTATCGCCCCCTCTTCCAATTATCGTTAGGAATCTTCGCAATTACCTTTCGGAGAAGAAT